CTTGGTAGAAACGCATTTGATTAATCAACTTTTATAAATTTTCCCCAAATCAAATGAAACAAATTAGAACAAAGATTAACACTTCACTTATATCTAAAATCCAGAAAAAGGAACTGAAAATAAAGAACCTTCCTTTTAAATTACTTATCTAACTCATTTTAATTTAAAAATAACTAGAATTCTTTTTTGTCCTCCCACCCTGACTGGGGTGGGATGGTGGCTGAAAATCAGAAACTCAGATATTCCTTTGTGTTGTTGGTTTGTTTTTCTTTCAGATCTTTATCAAATGGATCTCCATTTAAACATCAGGATATAAAGACAATCCACTCTGTGTATGTTTTATTTATCAATATGAAAGAAAAAGAAACTAAATGTTTCCACAGTAACCCTGAGTGTGAACTAAATTATCTAACTTCCTAATACTTACTTAGGAGGAAGAACAGATGACAACTGAAGGGGAAGCTAGAAGTAGAATGGGCTTTTAACAGTCAGCCTTATCTACACCAAACTCCCTCTCTATATGCCCATATTCCCAAATGGACTGAGATTCTCACCCTCTTTTCAGCAGCCCCAACCTACCCTCCCCACATGCTGGATTAAAAAATACTATTATCACAGTGTCACAAAGCTACTAAGACTTATCTGCAACATATGAAATTTAAAGAAAGTTGTGGTCATATTTTATATGTATTCAAATCCAAATAGGGAGTTCCTTCACTCATTTCTTACATAATATCTAACTTCTTTAATCAGCCCCTTAAAACTCATTTGCCCTTTAATTCATTAACTATAACAACTTCTAAACATTTTTGAAACACATATTTAGGTTTTAAGATTAAAGAAAAGAAAGACACCATATCTAAAATCTGCATTTACTAAAATGTTTTTGCCTTCTATTCCCCACCCCTAACTTTTAGGAGGAAATCTTCTTTCTCCAATGTCTGCCATCCTTAATCACTTTCCCCACAAGGATGCTATAGTTAAGAGCAGCAAAAGGTAATTTACTCAGACAAAGTGAGACATGAGTGTCCTTATCTGCTGAACATAAATGTATAAATAGATAATACTTTAAAAATTGACCAATCGATAATAGCAGGAATGCATCATAAAATTATTGTATTTACTTAGTTAAAATTTAGTCATTCACATACACGTGGACACACACCTACTTACTATGTGTCAGTGTGAGTCCATTACATGTATATCTATCTCACATAAGCCCTAAAAGGTAAGTGCTATTACTATTCCTTCTATCAGATGAAAAAGCTTGAAATTGAGAAACTTGGATATAGCCACATAGCTTGTAAACAGTGGAATTCCCATCTGCCTTACTTTGAAACTCAAACGCTACCCCCACACTCTATATCTTCTCCAAACAAAGTCTTTCTGAAGGGAAAGGAGGTTAAAGTTCTCATTCTAATTAGTTCTAATTGATACTAATAATTTAAAGTAATTAAATTGAAATCTCTCCTCCCTCCTAGAAATACTCACCTACCCTTGTTTTAGGTATAAAATGTATTTTGTGTAAGTATATATGCATGAATTTTCCTCTACATATAATTGTACTACATTCAGCACTCACATATCAAACGTTTTGGAATGGTGATACAATAATCAGTGGACAGGGAAACTAGCACCAACACTCCTTTCTCCCATCCTGCCACCATCATGTTCTCCTGTGTCACAATTCTCCCCTCACCTTCCACTGTCTCCTGTCACAGAGGTCTAATGGCTGTTCATGGTTTGGATAATCAGAGAGAGAGCCTCGTTATAGATATACTACACTACTAGACCATAGAGATGGCACATTAAGCAACCAGGAAAAGAATACTAACCAAGCTAACCTGATATTTACAAATCCCTAGAAACGAGTTAGAAGTCAGTATTTTTCGCACCCAACTTAAGATAGATATTTCATAATCTACCTCTTGAGCTTTGCCTCCCTGCCCTCTCTTGCAATAGAAGCTCTCTGAAGTCAAGAACTGTATTTTGCCAAAGTTTTAAAGGTGTAAAAAAAATAAAGGGTCTAATTAGTGCTATGGTTTCTGACTGAAGCTACAATCTACCTAGTAATTCAAAGGTAGAACCTAGAAGCCGTTCTTTATTTCTGCCCTTTTCTCATACCCCATGTATATGATTTATCAGTAATCCTGTCACTCGATCTCTAAAACATATCCCCAAACAGCTTTCCCTGCAAAGCCACCTTCACCTCCTGCCCAGACTAACGACAAGAGCCTCCTGGGGGTCAGGCCTCCCTTCTTGCCTTCTACAATCCACTGGTTACACAACAGCCACTAACAGATTATGTAACTTTCTGCAAGTAAACTCTTTAATGGCTTGCTATTAATAACAAAATCCAAACTCTTTATTCTATAAGCCCCTGCCTATCCTGACTTCACGTGCTATATCGTTCCCTTGTTGCTATCTCGGGGCCTTCATTTTCTTTACCCTCAGTGTGGAAAGCTCCTCCCACCAGATCGTCAAATAATTATACTACTTTAATTGAAGTTCCAGTTTACTCCTCAAAAAGAGCTGTCTCTCCCCCACCATTCTCCGTCACACATCACCTTGTATTACACCACTCTGATACTTGCTACCTTCTTTCTTGTGTGCTTACTTATTTATCATCTGTCTCCCTAGCATAAGGCCTAACAAGAGAGGGGGATTGGAATTGTTTTTTGCTGTATCTCCAGTGCTTAAAACACCATTCAACTCAATGCCTATTAATCTTTTCGTTATTACTGTTTCAATCAAAACAATACGCCAGGTAAGCCTGATAATTTATGTTTATTCCTATTTACACCTTTAGCCATGTTTAAGAATTTATACCTCTGACTTGTTTCATAAAGAATGTAAAGCAGCTGACATTTGGTCTCAAATGCATCACACTGCATTTGGTCTAAAAGGTTAAAACATCTCCACATAGGACATTCTATAAAATACCCCACTGGTACTCCTCAAAACTGTCGAGGTCATGAAAAACACAGAAACACTGAAAACCTGTCACAGACCAGAGAAAGAAAAGGAGACATGAATGACAACAAATGTAATGTGGTACCTTGGATTACATCCTGGAAAAGAAAGACTATGGAAAAACTAGTGAAATCCAAATAAAGTCTGGAGGCAGAGTAATATACCAATATTGGTTTCTTAGATTTGACAAATGTGGTGATGTGTTTGGGAAACTGCATGAGGGGTCTATAGGAACTCTTTGTACTATCTTTGCAACTTGTCTGTAAATATAAACATCTGCCAAAATAAAGAAAAGTTAATAATTAAATAAAAAGTTTATTTAAGAAATCAACATCTGGGCCGGGCGCGGTGGCTCACGCCTGTAATCCTAGCACTCTGGGAGGCCGAGGCGGGCGGATCACTCGAGGTCAGGAGTTTGAAACCAGCCTGATTAAGAGCAAGACCCCGTCTCTACTAAAAATAGAAAGAAATTAATTGACCAACTAAAAATATATATACAAAAAATTAGCCAGGCATGGTGGCGCATGCCTATAGTCCCAGCTACTCGGGAGGCTGAGGCAGAAGGATTGCTTGAGCCCAGGAGATTGAGGTTGCTGTGAGCTAGGCTGATGCCACACCACTCACTCTAGCCTGGGCAACAAGGTGAGACTCTGTCTCAAAAAAAAAAAAGAAATTATGTTCATACAGAAAAAAATTTGCTGCACTTTCATCACAGTTTGGCATTTTATTCTGAATAAAGCAGCATGAAGGCAATCGGCTTATTGCTTTGAACCCATACAACCACTTAAATATAAATACATATAAAAGCACAATTTAAAAGAATGCACAGCCACTTAAATATAAAGGCCCAATATTATTTAATACTTATCTAGTCAAATTTGCAATCACAGGAGTAATTTTAAAACAGCTAGACAAATGTAATTATCCCCTCTAATATTCACATGAATTCTACATGCAAGTTGGAAGGAAAAGTGCCATCTTTCTCATTTTCTCCCAAAAGGTTGCTGCAATACACATTACAGGACTTCCATTTACTTGTTAGGTTAAAATCTACTAAGTACTATCGACTGAAACTCTGTTGCTTCTTCTCTAGAAAGAAAAGAAACTAGTATTCCTAAGTGATAGCATGTTATCAGAGAATGGGTTTTTCCCTGATAATTCAAATGTGGCCAGTATTTCAAAACAACTTTCTATACATGATTCTCTAATTTTCTGTTAACTGTTTTACAAAGCTATTCCCTTACTCATTCACTTAACAAATAATTACAACACACAGCAATATGAATCACATTGAACTTGGACAACAAGTTGGATTATAAATTAAAAAATACGAAAACAAATTCCGTTGTAATGTTCCCGCACCCTAGAGGTTTCATCATTTCAGAAACACACCCAAAAACAACACACTAAGTACTACAATCTACCCCATCATTTTACACATAATTCTATAAATGAGATGTAAAAATATCAGCATTTACTTATTTATCAAGTTATTGTTTTTCATTATACACATACACAAAGGTACTACATATTATTTCATGAGACATGGTAATCTTAATGAGGGGAATAGAAAATGGTCAAAATAAAACAAAAAAAGATAATCATTCAAAAGGCAGAATAAAGGTGAAAGAGATATGGCACAAGACTAGCCTGTTTATATGAAAAATAGTCAAAGGAAGAAGGGAAATTTGTAACAATTCTCTGGGTAATTTTGTGGTTTGTAGTTGTCCTACCTTGGGCCAGTCCCTTAAATATTCTCAATCTCATGTTTTTATCTACAACATTAAGACAGTAATGCCATTCTACTGAATGAATAAGTATAAACAAAACCTGGCAAATAAAAAAAATTTTTACAAAGCTACTTTTCAGACAAAAATTAGCTCTTAAAAAACTAAAAATTGCTAACCCCTGGCAGCATCTGGAGGGAAAAATTGTGAGTATAACTGTATTCTGGACCTGGGTAAAGCAGAAAGCAACTTTTCAGCCAGCTCGAAGCTGAACAGATTCCTGGGTAAGTGCTTGCTTACCTTGGAGACTTGTCGCAGCCACCTTAAGTACTCTGCGAAAGTATCAAAGCAAATGTAGTAAGTCTGGCTTTGGGGTCCAGAGGAGCTAAATGCTAAACAATGCTGGTGTTTTTTCACTTCTTCTACCTATAAAAATAAACAGAGAGAAGCAAAAACAAGTAAGACAGCAGAACCATTGACGTATTTCACTAACTATATCTTGGATCAATGAGCCTGCACAGATTTGCATCTTTCCCTACATATGTTCCTCTTATCACTTAAAACAACTAAGTTCCTGTGTCTGACCAACCAATCTGAATTACAAGTAAACCAAAAAAGGGGAATTTTATCTTTATTAGATTTCCCCACCAGACTGATATTCTCTTCTTCCTGTTTAAAACTGCTCCAGACTCCCTTTCTCTTACCTCACAATGGGGTGCTGGGGTTCTTACTTCCTCTTAGGATTTTTACTTAAGATTTTACTTAGAATTTTTACTTAGGGGACTTTTGTATTACTCTGAATCACAATCTTTTTAAAAAAGAGGTCTTCAACCATGTTAAATAAGTTTTTAAAAACTGTGAAACTGAAATTAACCTGAAATAAAACCCTACCACGAGAACTTTCAAGTCCTAATAATGCAGTATTAGAGTCAAATCAAATTTCAACTCCCAGTAATTTTTCACAATGGGGGAAAAATTTAAACAATAAAGTAACATGATATTACACAAACTCCTATGTTTCACTTAAAAAAGGACCATAAGCCAAGTCACAAAGAAAGTATAAAAATATTTCAAAGAGGTCAGCATCACATAGACTATGTTCTTGGACCAAATGCAATTAATTTATAAGTCAATAATAAAAAATTTAAAAATCAATTTAAAATCCATGTATGTTTAGAAAATTAATAACATACTTCTAAAATGACACACTTTTAAATTATATACTTCTAAATAACTCACAGGAGAAAGGAGAAATCATAATCAAAATTTTAAAATTCTTAGAACTAAACAATTATAAAAATACTATACATCAAAATTTATGTAATGCAATAAAAGGAGATGAATAAGGAGAAATTTATGCTCTTAAATACTCATATTGGAAAAGAAGGTAGAAAATTAATTTGATTAGTATGTATCATAAGAATTTGGGGAGGAAAAATTCAAAACCAAAACCTGAATAAACCCAGAATGAAGGCAATGATAAAAAGCAGAAATTGGTGAAATGAAAAACACTTAACAGAAATTGGTGAAATGAAATCTTCTGGCAAGTTTTATAAAAAAAAAAAAAGAGACAAGATATTTATAAATAATATTAACAATGAAAAGGGGAACATAGTACAGATTCACGAGAGATTAAAAAATATAAATAATTTTGTGGCAAATTCTTAGAAAAAATATATTTTGCCAACATTACTAAATCGAGAAAAAACAGAAAGGCTAAATAAGCCCTATAACCATTTAAGAAATAGAATGAGTATTTTTTTTAATTTCTCAAAAAAAAATCAGGCCCACACAGTTTTACAGGTTAGTTTTACCAAAGTTATAAGAAACAGATCACTCCAAATTCATGCAAACTCATCTAGCAAACAAAAAGGAAGGAAAATACCCCAACCCATTCTATGAGACAAGTATAACTAGGACCATACCAGAAGGGTAACAGAAAGGAAAATTATAGGCAACCTCTGTCATGGAGACTTATCTTAAACAAAACGTTTCCTCAGAATACAGTAATACAGAAAAAAATGTATCAAAGAACAAGGTGAATTTACCTCAGGTAAGGCAAAATGGTTTAACATTATTAGACGTATAAAATCATTAACCAAACTAACAGATTAAAGAAGTAAACCATATATGATCATCTCTCCTACTGCAGAAAAAGCAGTTAGTAACATTCACCACCTATTTAGCATTCAGGATCAGAACTTTAGCAACTCAGAACATGAATTCACTTAAGCTAACCAAGGGTGTTTAACAAATGTCTAAAACAAACCAGTGTAAATGATTTCACTCTCTTTTAAATCATATTTATAAGATTCAAATATCTACTTTTTCTTTTCAACACTGTAAGAGTCCTGGCCATTATAATAAGGTAAAGAAATGGAAGAAAGAAAATTGTCACTATGAGTATGATATGATTAGCTACACAGTAAACTCAAGATAATCTATAGGCATCATATCTGAATAAGCCAGAAAATTTAGCAAGGTGGCTGGATATCAGATCAAAACTCAAAAATAAACTGTATTTCTATATACCAAACAAAAAATATAATTTTTTAAAAATGTCATTTAAACTAATCTATATTCACAGAGATCAGGCTGAAGGTTTCTTGGGGATAGTGAGGAGTGAGTGGGAAGGGATGAGAGGGAAGGAGCACAAAAGGGCGCAGGGACACTCTGGAGAGTGATGGATATGCTCACTATCTTGATTGTGGCAATGGATTAGGGAGGGTATACAGCTAGAAAATTGGATTTACAGGAGTATGCAGTTATCAAAATGTGGTTTATCGTTATCAATTATAGTTTAATAAAGTGTCAGTGGTCATGTAGAGAAATAAGAACACTTGAACACTGATGTGGATGTAAAATGGTACAACAATTTTGTAAAACAACTTGACATCATCTTGTAAAAGTAAATGCATATATAAATGCTCCAGAGTCCAGTAACTGCACTCCTAAGTATGTACCCCAGAGCAGTATTTACCAAGGAGGTCATCATAGCAATTATTCATTATAGGAATTCTGAACAGTTCTTCATTGTGCATTGTGTAGGACCATCTAATACTTTGTATATTTTACTCTCTAAGCCCCTGCCCTTTAATGTCAAGAGTGTCCCACTGCAGCAAAGACATTGGTATTCACCAAGCACTTTATCTGCTTCTCTGTATTTCTCAGACCGCTTGAAATTAAGGCAGAGTCATGTGACTGGCTCTGGCCAATGAGCCGTGGGCAGAAGTGGCACGTGTCACCTCTATATCTAAACACAGATGAGCCAGTGAATGACCCTCCAGTTACCTCTCCCCCTGTCAAAGCAATAAAGGAAGGTTACGTGTCCCAAACGTTGTAAGTACAAAAGAGCAGAGTCTCCATCAGGCTGGGTGCCTGTACAACTTCGTGAAAATAAAAATTCCCAGCCCCCAACCCCACTGACCCACAGTGGACATATAATGTGAGTGAGGAATACCTGTTATAAGTCACTGAGATGGGGGTTGAGGGGTTCCATTGCGTAATTTAAGCCTATATTAACTAATAGGTTGACTGTTCAATCATTTGACCATCAAAACACTCCTACATATTACCAAATATCCCTTGGGCACAGAAACCCTAGTTGCAAACTACTGCCCCAGAAGAAGTACTTACAGGAGGCCTATCAACGTAAGACTATGACAGCAGCATTGTTTATAACAACAAAAAACTGGAAGTAACCTAAATGTCCATCAGCAGGGAAATTACTTAGGAAATTATGGAAATTGTGTAATTTTACAGAGTGGAACATTATGGAGAAATAAAGCCCATATAAGCAACATGGAATCTTATTATAAAACATTACATTGAGTGAAAAATTTCAATTACATTAGACAATATGCAGTATAGTAACATTTTTAAACAGATCAACAAGCAAAATATAGTTACATGATAAAATTTATGTAACAAAAAAAGAAAACGAATACATATTCTAGGACAGTGGATACCTCTGGTGTCAGGGGAGGCAAGAACACAGGTAAAAGAAACATTGGGATTGATATTGCAATAGTTCCTAAATTAAGGTGTAGTTTAACAATTATTCAATTTATTATGCTTCATAATTTAACAAACATTAAGTATTTATCAAAGCATATTACCTAAAAATCTATGTTAAATTCTAAAGGACAAATTAAACATAACATAAAAACTATAGGATGAATAAAAATATATCTATTAAATATCTGTTCAATAAATTAAAATATTAAGAGAGCTTTAACAGTAAAATATTTATTACTTGAAAAATGTAAACTTAATGGTCATGCTAAATTGGTGTGCCAATTAGATACCATAGCAATTATAGTTAGGCTTTGACCAGTTTATCTCACATCTTATTTCTAGCTCTTCCACATATAAATTAAAAATAAAAAATAAAAGCCCTTCCATTTACTCTCAGTTTTTCCTTTAACAACAGAACAGGATGAAAAAAGTAATAGACAAACATTAATGAAAGCTCAGATTGCAAAAAGTGAATTATTTTTCCCTAACTTGGTCGACAGGTTTTAAAGACTCAATATTTCAATGTGCTCAATTATTTTTAAAGGCATAGTGAAGAACAGGTTTTACAAGGTTTGCCTGTGAAAAGAGGAAGCTATTAACTTTCAATTCACTCAATAGTAGAAGTCCATCCAATAATAGGCCTGGGAAACAGGACAAGTCCCCCATTCTGAATGAAAATGCTAATTATAACTGAATCCGCTGACCTTATCTGAACATTCCCCATGCTTTCCTGCCTCTGCCTAAGCATAATAATCTTTCTGACCATCTCCTTCATATGTCAAAAGATTTTTCATCCTTCAAGTTCTATCATAATTGCTACTTTATTATAAAATTTCCTCTTATCCCCCCCTCCCACAAAATATAATCTCTCCTTCCACTAACCTTCCACATGGCTTTTCTGTACCTCTCTTATAGCAAATATTATTGTGTACATCATTCATCTCCTGATAAAAAATTATAAGCTATTCAATGGCAAGGATGGGGGACTTACCCATCTTAGTATTTCTGCAGTGCCAAGCACCGAGTCTTACTCACTGAGGACGTTGAATAAATAGTTATATTAGATTTGCCTATGCAAACACCCAGAATCACAGAGAAGAAAGAGATAGACTATTGACTTAAAGACTCAAACATTAAATATGTACTTCTATGATGACCTACGGTGGTATATTGATAACTAATTTTTCAGTAGTCCATCCAAAGGACAAAATCTTAAGTACTAAGTATCAGTCACTAACTCTTCAATGTTCAGACAAAAGTTAAGGAGCAATGGTTTCAAAATGAATGACTAAAATAGATTTAAATATGTACCTTGTAGCCTCACCAAAATCTATTTTTGAAAATGATCAAGCCTTCTTAGAACTAGAATGTAAAAATAGTGTAGAGAAAAAAAACTGACCTGGGCTATTTATTCGCAAGCAAAAACTATGAAGAATGTACTTGCTACATAGCAGGTGAACAACAAAACTATTTAATACTACACACATCAGTCTCACCTTCTTCATTTATAACCCTTGGAACAGATCAGACATTTGTAAGTCAAAAAGGTTTACTTTAACAAAAGTTAGTTTCCTATTTTTCCTCTCTTTAGAGTCTCCCTCTCCTGCCTCCTTTCCTGTGTTCATTTAAAGGGGAAAAATGGTAAAGAAAATAATTGTTTAACATATCCCCAATTTCCGACAACCCGTTTTCTCATCCAAATCTCCCTTCCCAATTATTAATATTATATCACTTAAAAATCAAGAAATACTGACACATAATCATGGTGATGCTACCCCTACCAATGCTTAGGAGTTTATAAATAAATCTGACAAATAAAAAAATATAACATTTTCCCAAGCAATCTGGTTCTTTCTATTTTATAAATGATAGGAATAAAATAGTTAACAAGTGCAAAGAAACGCAGCCAGTAGTGTCGGAAATAGGCCAGTTTTATCACATATTCTCCAAAATGAAAAACATTTAAGATTCACACTTTATGACTAGTTATAGTAATAAACTAAAAATGTTAACCCCACTTATCACTAAAGGTAAGGGAAAGTGTGATCAAAGACTGAAGCACTAGAGAGTCCCACCCTTGGTAAGTATGTGTGAATGTTCCTAAGGTCACTCACTTAAAGATCAGTGTGATCTATTACAAAATATATGTTGAAGATATCAAAAGATATCTACTCATAAATAATGAATTTATCATCTACACTATAAAATATAACAATGAAATTCTATTTGATCTATTTTCAGTCCAGTAGGTATAGTTCATATATTAATGAGGCAACCATCACCCAGGCCTCACATGAGCCAATGCCATGCATTTTTCACAACTTCACCAACCAACAATGCCCACTGGGGGAGCACAATGGTAACTGAATAAAACCTCAGGTCAAAAATCATCTACCTCTTATATCAGAAATGGCTCAAAGAAAGGTCAGTACTGATGCCAGGAAATACGTCAGTATTTTGATTGTTTTAAACTTACTTTTCCACCAATTAGTGGAAGAACATGCATCTTTCCAGTCAAACTGTCTTTCACAGATGATACTATCAGGCAGGTCCCACACAGGATGACTTGGCGTCTTGTCCATCGGTTCACTGGCAACTGCATTTTGCCCTTACGGACATTATACATTCCTGAGAGCTGAATCCGTTCAGAGCTACCGGTACTGTGAGGTTTCCCTGAAATAAACACAAACAAAGATGTTATTCTCCAAATATGAGCTTTTTTCCCTAGTCATCTACATACCAAATGTATTAAGTGGACAACAAGAGAATAACTATAGAGAAACAATCTAATTTATAATGAAGAGAATATGACAGCTGTGGTAATGGAATTATCCCACGTGTACTTATTAAGGGCCTTTTCCTTAAAAAGACCATTTTAACTCCTCTGTTTTAACCCGTTTTATTTTCTTGAGTATCTTTCATGGTTTAATTTTAAATTTGGAAACAGATAATTTCAAGATTTTTATGGATAGTGGAGTTAATTTAAGCATACCAAGAAGAAAATATTAGACTGAGGTAGGAAAATAACATCCAATATCTTGCATTTAAAACTAACTGGTGGCCAGTCACGGTGGCTCACGCCTGTAATCCTAGCACTCTGGGAGGCCAAGGTAGGAGGACTGCTTGAGCTCAGGAGTTCAAAGACCAGCCTGAGCAAGAGTGCGACCCTGTCTTACTAAAAATAGAAAAATTAGTTGGATGTCATGGTACTCGCCTATAGTCCCAGCTACTCAGGAGGCTGAGGCAGGAGGATCACTTGAGCCCAGGAATTTGAGGTTGCAGTGAGCTACAATGATGCCACTGCACAATGATGCCACTACCGTGAGTGACAGTGCAAGACTTTGTCTCAAAAAACAAAAAAAAACCCCACCTAACTGGTATAATGAATTAACTGCTGATATTTTCCTTCTACAGATATTCAATATTCAATCAATGCATATTTACTATAAAGGAGACATAAAAAAATTAAAGATTTTTCTAATAGGAAAATACTATTATTTCCTACTCGAAATAATAGGAATAGTATATGTCCTATTTTAATATCCATAACCATAGGATAAATCTTCAAAGATAAATCTAACAGCAATCCATGAAGGATGGGTACCATGACGCTTGTGATTCAAGGAGAGAAGCACAGAGACAGAGAGAGTGAGCGAGATCTGAGAAAGATCTAAAGAGCCTTCATTTCCCAAATGGAAATGAATTTGGCAGAATTACATTCAGGCAAGTCCTATCAACTTAATGGAGAACTACAGCAATTAACATGACATAGTGATGGGGTTGTATAAGCAACTAGAAAAGTATTTCCCCAGTTCTAGATACTGAATATATAACAACAAAGAGCACTGAAGCCCATGCTCAGAAATAAATTAATAAGGGGTATATGTACTACAGTACAGATACAGAAGTGATATATTTATTTGGAAATTTGACTGGTTGCCAAGGGCTAGCAGAAGAAATAGGTTTAAGAAAATTATATTCTTATTAATATTAAAAATCAACATGCATACTAAGTAATTTTGATAGATGTTTAGTACCTATTAGACAGGGACCAGGAAGAGCAACAGCACCAAAAAGAGATCTCAAGAAGATCCAGAGTGTCTGAAACCTCCCAATACATATTTGGGTAGAGATGTTAAGAAATAACAAAACCAGCAGGTTGAATTTTACTTCCTCTTTCTCCCAGTATATCTAAACGTTTTACAAATTAAATACTTCACACTACATAATTTTGCTGCTGCTGAGCCAGAATAAAGTATAACAGTGATTCAGCTATTCAGCCAGGTGGCCAGTAAACAACTGTTAAAGCTCTCAGTGGAAAGGTACTGAGTTGTTTGTTTACCAGATGTTAATTTTCCCACAAATGAGTAGGAAGCCCAGGAGACTATTCAAAACAGACACGACTTTCCAAGAGCTACCAATGACAGACAAGACAGAGTCATTTACATGTCCCATTCTGCACAAATGCATTTATACCCAGAGATGAAGATGTCTAGGTCTCCAGCCTAAGAGCTCCTTTCTAAATGACAGACTCTTCCTGAAGGAGAGAAGACTCAAGAAAAATGAAAGGTAAGTAAGACTCAAAACAATGAACAACAGGCAACTGGGTTTCCAAAATCCAACTTCCTTGACTATAATAAATTAATCTTCTCTAACAAGGTATTTTGATCTACACACACACACACACACACACACACACACACACACACACACACACACGTACTAGTAAATGCAAAGAAACAGATGTTTTATTCAGCCACATCAGAGAGTGGCTTCAAGAACACTTGTTAACCCATCACATTTATGCAGATCTGTGAATGACTGGAGAAAAAAAGACAACTGGGTAAATAAGAAACAGCCCTTCCATTCTCCTATTCCATATACACCCTAGAGAAAGCCCCAGAGCAAATCACCAAATAGACTGGACTAAGACTGAAAGCAATCTTTAAGAAAAAAGTATGGATACATCAACAGAGACTGGCTTCTTATGCCCTAGTCAGAAAGTCCTGGAGCCCAATGGTAAGATCAGACTGTCCTTGGAAAGCCCTGAACATCCCAGTCTGAATCAAATCCCTCTAGTCTTGCTCTGAGTGCATTTCAATACCTTTGTTTTCTGTCCTCTCCCTGGGTGTTCCAGATCAGACACACCCTCAGGGCTGTGTGCCAACTGGGCTCTGGGGAATATGGAGATAAATGAGGTAATATATACCTGGGCAATCGCCCAGGAGCACCCTCCTTTGTATCAACTTTCTTATTCTATGACATAAGAAATTATCTTTGCTTTCCCTGCCAATTCTCAAAACTTTCAATTCAGAGGAATTCCAATTGCCCTATGCTCTAATAAACACTGACAACACCAGAGTAACCAATGTCTCCCAGTTTAAAGCTGGGTCAGTTGTCGTAACTTTTGCTTTAGAAATGTTACTCTCATTCTCTGCAGGTTTAAGGCATTTTTACATGATCCAGGAGGAAAAACAGACACCAAAAGCAAACATTTCAAGCTGAGACAGAAACATGACCACAACAGAGAGTGATTTAAAAACATACTCATATACTTTCTCTTTTACTTACTCACCGGACACATAGTGGATAAGGTGTACTATACCAGTCTATTTACAAAACAGACACTGGCCCACAGGTGGTTAAGGGCCACTTGTAGAAAATTACAGCATGATGCTAATCATGCTAGGACCTCTGGGTCCTATTACTTACTCAAGACTCCTCTCCCACACCAAACTGACAGTTCTTACTTATTTTACACAGTAAAACTGTTGTTTAAAAAGGGAGAAAAAATAATATAAAATGTCTACTACAAGCCACTATGTTAGATACTGGGGATATCAAGAATATGTTCTCTGCACTAAATTGCTTAAAGCAGAATTTCTCAAAATGTCTAAAAACCACATTTATCAGAATCATTTGGATTCTGTCCACTACAACAACCCTACAGATTTGGAACCTTGGTAGCCAAGGCCTAAGATCTGCATTTCGGCAACCATCATCTCATGTGTATGTTTTGTGGCCATAAATCTAAAAACAGAATGATCAACTCATTCCCCAAAGTCAGCTTATTTTCTAACAAATGTATTAATATTCCTCACTTTCACAAATTCAGGATTTCAATTTTTGTCTTTCCCTAAGTCAGCTACTTTAAGGATTTTGTGTCATGTAAAGATACCTGAAAAATATGATGAAAGCTATGGACCTCTAGAAGGAAAAAACATATAAATATGTACAGACATCAAATTTGGCAGATAATGGCAGTAGATTCATTTAATCATCCCCAATAGAATAAAAAGATGGTGAAATTACTCAATGGCAAAGGCCTATTCCCATTTGCACAAATCACATTCCAAACACAGGAAAGTAGTGGTTTAAAATTAATTTCTCCTATAGCTGAATTTACTCTTATCATATTTTCTCTCTCATTGGCTTATTCTGTCTCTTTGACCTCCCTCCCCCTCTCTCCCGCCCTCTCTTTCTTTCTGGTTAGTCAAGTTAAACAGTGGGAGTAGAGAAGGAACAAAGAATCTCTGACTTTTCTCATCTCTTCCTTGACATATTCTACCTATATTAGGAGGCCCAGCCTACCTAACAAACTATCTAGATAGATAATATGTATCTAGATATTTATTTATTTAACAAAAAAAGCTCATGGAGTATCATAGTGACAGGTCTATTATAATCCCTATAGTTGAAAAATGTCTGTTTTTTAAAGGATTTACAATTTTAAATGAAAAAGCCAAAGATAATATCTTAACTAAAAAATAAAACATTATTTGAGAAAGTACATCATCATATTGGTTCATTTAACTAATGTTCTAAAAAATGAGTCCATTATAAGTTAAACTAAGAAAACTAAAGCAACACACTGCCTTTTTTGGGTTGTTATTTTACGTCATGAAGGTTTGAAACATTTATTTTCAGAGTAAAAGCCAAAAGGTCAATATTTTTGTGAACTGAAATATTTTTTGAATGCCATGAATGGTTTTTGCAAAATGCTTGCCATGACAGAAATGTTTGCCTTTTTTTAATCAACTAATTCTATCATTTGCATCATTTCTGCGTCAGTTTAGTTTCATTGAGTTTTCTCCCTATATTTTCCACACTTAGAGGACAGTCATTATGAATTTTACTTGTTGAGTACTGCATATATTTGTATTTCTAGAAATACTGCAGAGCTTTGTTCTAGGACACAGTTGTTTGGAAACAGTTTGCTTCTTATAAGGCTTGGTTCTAAGATTTGTTATATAGGACCAGAGCAGTCTTAAGTCTAGAGCTAATAATAATAACAGCTAGCAACACCCTGCTGAGTACTCTACCTGTTGCCCTGTAAATCATAAGGTTTTCTACTCTGGCTCATAGGAACATGAACCTGGCCCTGTATGAACTTCAAGGTTTGTTCCCTCTGTTCCTTTTTGGTGTTTCCCAGCCCTGGATAGTTTCCTCACACACATGCATTGATCAGGACTCAGTTTAGGCTGAGTGACAACCCCTTGCACACATCCAGAGCACTACCTCTGACAGCCGCTCTTTCCTCTCCAGCACTCTGCCCTATAAACACAAGCGGCCTAGAATCAACAGACTCCCAGCTCTGTCTCCTGGACTCAGGGTGAGTACCAGGTTCTATGTGGGTTCTTTCTCCTGCACTGATGCCTAGAACTCTCTTCCAT